GTTTTCTCAGAAAATCTCGTTTAACTGAATATTTCTTGATGAACCCAAGTCATTCTTTTAAACGCCAACCCTTCTAACCATCTTGCATGAAAATACTTCTAAAATGTATTGAAACTTCTATTCATTAATTACACAGGTATTCTGAAGATCATGTATTTTCCTACTGATACAGGGCCATTACTAATATTATACCTATATATTTCAGTTTTGTTATAGGGGTGTTTAAGTCTGTTTCAAGTTCCAAAAGAAATGGTTTAAGATTAGTTATGTTCTTTTTTCAAGTTTGTCAATTTCTGTGCCTTTTACAGTCACTCCTTCCCTCCACATCCAATCGACTGTGGATTGAGAAGTCAGCAAACAGGCTTGTTAGAGTGATGCTGAAAGCAAAAAGAGTGGGCTCAGTGGAAGTGGCAGTGGCTCTTCTGAACGGTACCTTTCAGTATTAGTGCAGGCAATAATCTGGCCCCACAAATCTTTTCAATTTTATTTGTCAATCACAGTTAACATTCAATATTATTTTGTAGTAGTTTCAGGTATACAGCATAATGGTTAGACAAGCATACTCTTTACAGTGTTCCCCCAATATTTCCAGTATTCACCTGACACCATAGTTATTCAGTATTATTGACTGTATTCCCTATGCTGTACTTTGCATCCCTGTAACTATTCTGTAACTACCAATTGTACTTCTTAATCCCTTCACCTTTTCACCCAGTCCCTGGACACCCCCTTCTCTCTGGCAACCATCAGTCAGTCTGTTCTCTCTGTCTAAGTCTGTTTATTTTATTCTTTAGATTCCACATACAAGTGAAATAATATGATATTTGTCTTTCTCTGATGTATTTCACTTAGCATAATACCCACTTTCCTCTTTTTTCATATATTAGTTGAATAGGTAGGGGTGGGTTTATATCTGAGCACTCTATTCTGTTCAGTTGCTCTGTGCATCTGTTTTTATGCCAGTACCATGCTGTTTTGATTTCTATAGCCTTGTAGTATAATTTGATACTAGGTAGTATACTGTGTATTTTTCTCAAAATTGCTATGGCTATCTGGCTATCTGTATCCTTGGCTACACTCAAAATAGCTGAGTTTCTTTTATATGATGTTCATATTGAATTATTACTCTGCTGACAATAATGCTTTAAATTAAAATATATAGTCAACTGCAATGATATACTAAAACATTACTTAGAACTTCCTTACAATTAAAGTAGTCATTAAACTCTTATGCAGTCTTCGAGCCTCTCTCAGTTTACTGCGATACAGTCCTTTGGAGGGAGTGGAGGCAATATTCTATCTTGCTTTGGTCACATTTTAGACTCGGCCATGACCATTAACCAAGTCACTCCATAAAACATGCCTTTTTTGGTAACTTGTACTCACATTTTAAATTACAGATATTTTAAAAATATAGGAAAGAACCAAATAATATAATAAATTTCCTTTTACTTACTGCCTAGAGCATATTTAATATTTACCTTTTTTTCAAGAAAAAATGTAACAGATACAGTTGTCCTCATGCCATAGAGGTAAACACTTGTGTAGAAGTTGGAAGTGTTTTTTGTTTTCCAATTAAATATTTGTGAACAATATGTAGGTTTATTTTATCTGCCTTTTAAAAATGCCCATCAATGGTATCATTACATCCCTCAGAAAGTGGCTTTTCCACTCTGAAATTCACCCATTTTAATAAATGTAGGTCGAGTTAATTTTGACTACTGTATAGCATTCCACTGTGTGGCTATGCAACAATAAGTTCATTGTTATTGATGGGCATTCAGTTGCTGCTGTTTTTTCATTGTAATGTGGCAATAAGCATCTTAGTATTTATTTCTTTGTCACATAAGTAGTACTTCTTTACAGCTATAATTTTGAAACTTGGGGTACATCAAATTTTGAAACAGAGTATTCAAAGAATGTACAAGCAATTGCAGCTATGCTTTTAGGGAGATTCGCAGAATTTTACCTTCTATGTGTATTCTTTTCCACAGCTGTTCTGCTGAAGTTAAGCAGAAGTTAAGATACAGGTTCTCCTTTCCTAACCTTTTTGTAGTTACTTTACTCCCATGTTACAAAAGGAACATAACCTTTCACCCACTCCTAATCTTACTGTAATGCATCATATTAAGGAGTACTAACCTCTGGAGCCCCAAAGAGGCAATTTGAAATAGTGATGTCAGTGCTGAGAAAGTAACTCCATTTGCATCAACCGAGTTACCAAAAATAATGTTTGATAAACCAGTGTTTTTTTGGGGGGGTGGGGGCTTATAAACTCAGGAGTGAAGAATGAGTAACATCATTGTAACAGACATCTCTCCTCATCTACTCGTTTATGTTAAAAGATTTTTTTGGCACTTGTGTTTATAAAAATGAAAAAAAATAGGAATAGACTTAAACTGGACCTGCCTCATTTCAGGTCAGGAGCAGGCGAAAAGCAACCAGCGGCATAGCAGTGCAGTGGGTGTGTGGGTACTGATGGTGGAGGCCTTCAGGGCATGAGTGGGCCAGGCAGTAGTTAAGCCCCACTGGGACCTTTGGGATCACGTGGGCAGTATACAGCCACTCAGGACAGTGGCAGTCTATGCGCCAGTGCAGGCAGGAGGCTCTCAAATCATGTGGGCTGTGCAGCAGCTTGTTTCTGTGTCAAGAGAGCTGAAGGTCAGGCCGAGGCTGAAAGGTCACAGTGGAACAGTGTCCTATGGCTGGGGCAGGCTCCACTGCAAGTCTTCACACTGAGCTGCCCACCCTGCCCTGCCCTGCCCTGCCGTGGGAACTACGGGAGAGATTCTTTCTACCATGCCCTGCATTCCTCTTACTGAGAAAACTTAACATCGTGCTGACCTTAAAGGTGTAGTACTGAAAGTAGTTCCATTACTGGAGAGGAAATATTGAAGAGTGCATTCAGAGGTGAGGCAATAAATTGATAACTGACACAATACATGGGTTTAAGGAGGAAAACAAATGATGTAAAATTTCCAAAAGATCAAGAGTTCATAGCATTTTTTTAAATGAATGGATGGTAGGAGGTACCAAATTACTATGGCATTTAGATCTCATTATATACATTTTAAAAAATGATGTTTACAGTTCATTTAAAATATCACGATTATGTTGAGATTATGGCCAGTGTTTTATACATCTGACTGTGCAAAGGAGTACATGGTGTTTCAAAATTCTTTTAGGACTTTCAGGAACTATGAGAACAAAAACGATCAGAGACCTGGTGTTAAGAGAATACATGTAGGAGTGAAACTGCTGGGTCATATGGCACAGACAATTTTAGCTTGATAAGACACTGCAATTTTGCTCTCTAAAGTAGATATTCCAATTCAAGTTCCCACTGTCAGTGTTTCCTTCTTCCTTGCCAAAGTTGTATATTGTCTTGCCCTCCTTAATTAAAAAAAAAAACAAAAAACTTTTACAAAGGATGATTTAAGTGTCCTGAAAATTTATTCATGGTATACCTTCCATTTCTTTCCACAACCAGCAAGCCGAATTAGTCCGGAGATTACACCAGGTCATGCCCCTCCAGGCTACCTGAATTCTGGGGTGGCTGGGAGCCCTGGCTGGTTGCTTCAAGATGTTTTGATGTTTTCAGTCTCTTGTTGGAGAGCAGGGAGTGGAGCTGGCTCTGACAGTGTGCCCTGAACTCAGTCACTTACCGCTCCCCTGACAGATGCAGAATGCTCCACTGTCCATCATGGGCAGGGTGGGGTGGGGGGTGTGGTCTATGAAGCTGTGAGAGAAGCATGTTCCAGATGTCATAAGAGATGATAGGAAAATCCAAGCATGGAGCCCCAGATGAGTGAGGGGATTGGGAGCTGGAGATGAGAGGGTGCCCCACAGGCCTCAACTTGCCTTCTTATAAATCAGATACTTGTCTGTTGGTGGCTAATGTGTGCTCTCTGTGGCAGCTAAACTAGTGGCATGCTTAAGTATAGGTGACTACAAATTACAGCTTCATCATTATTTGAAATACTTGTAATGAAAATATGCACGTCACAAGGAATCTCAACATTACATTTACCATTACATTTAGAACAGTTAATTTCTTAAGTATAATTCAGCTGCATAAGTTTTGAATGGTTGTGAAAAAAAAAAGGCTTAAACATCACTTATTTGTGGGGGGGGTTTTTATCAATGGCAATAGTAAAGTTTTTAAGAGGTTATTAATTAAAACACTTGATAAGATTTTATTTAAAAGTTCTATACAAATTTACTATTTCTGAATCTGTATTTTGTTTTTCTCATCAATTATAAAGGAAATGATTTTTTTTTTTTTTGCTCCAATTCTTCCCAGTGTTTCCCAGTTTGCCGAACAGTATTTTTTTATGTCAGGACATGAAAACATTGGGAAGCTCTCATATAGACTCTGTGGTGTGGCCACTGGGTTTCCACACCTTGTGTGTTAGCTCCATTTGCACCATGTTATGTACTGGCTTCATCAAGATCCGGTCTGATTCATGCTATAAGCCCCAAGCAATTTAGTTTCTGAGTCTATGTGTTCAACCATAGGCACACTTCCTTCCCAAGCCCTGCTCTACTGAATTCCTTACTTTTTAATTCCTAGGGTGGTAGAGGAAATGTGAAAGTAATTTTAGATATGTAAATGTCATACGGTTTAGTAAGCGATGTTTTGAGAATATCTTATTTAATATATTCGTTCAAAGATGATCTTGTACGTGTCTATCAGCTGTTGGCTAACAAAGGTTGAAACTTTAGATGAAGAATCAGAGTTTCAGATAACCAAGTCCAATTCCTCATTTCACATGAGGACACAAGCTCAGTGAAGGTTCTGCCCTTGCAGCATTAGAGCCAGAGCTTGGAGTAGAAAACAGATGGTGAGCCTGCTAGTGTAGTGCCTTACTGCACCAACCTTCACCTGGGTGACACTCATATATAAAAATAGGCTTCCTTTGTCCATACATTTTGAATACTATTTGGTATTTTAAATACATAAACACGTTGATTCATTCAAAGGAGTTAGATGTCTCTAACAAGGAAGCAGCAGGTACGATGATGGTTCTTTGTCAACACCAGATTATTCTAACATTAGGCAGTATCTAGAAGAGTCAGCAGCTGGAATGATTAAGGAAAGAAAGATGTCAAAGCCCTTTTCTTTCTCATAAATGACAGCTGTCTGCTTCAATAACCAAGAATATAAGATTGCAAAGCCAAACTAAAGCAGTACACAGGGGTTTATGAACTATTTAATACTGGCATACTGAAGTAAGTAGCCACACTTACTGGACTTTGTGTTAACCAGTGTATTGTTTGCTTTTATGCTTGTATTTTGCCAAAATTAGTTAAAAAAATTAAAATCCTCCAAATTCTTCAGCCTAAGACTTTATGACAGGTTCTTAAATTTGAGCTTCACTAGCCAAGTTACAATAGGAGCTAACATATGATTATACACAATATAAGGATTACTGCCATTTATTTAACACTAATAGTTTTCATGCCTCATATACAATAAAATGTATTTCAGTGATCACTTTTTAATGCTTTATTCATTGATTAAAAGAATATACATTTAACATAAACCATACAACATCAGTCATCAGGTCAAACATTCAGCTGGTTTCCTTACAGTTTCTGTCAGGAGTTATTTTATCTGATCACATTTATAAGATAAAATCTCACCACATCTGGCATTTACACACACTGTGCCAGTGGATTCACACTACTGATGTACATATAAAATCCGCATGGTATGTGCCCACTGGAGACAAAACAGTGCACACCTGTCAAAAGGTCATTTTAATATAAGATGGTAAAACCATTTGTAAAACACATATAAACTTTTTCCATAAATAGAATCATATCTGGACATCTGTTGCATAAATTGTGTTTCCAAAGCTTACAATAGAGCAGCCAGGTCTCAGCACTGCTGGGCACCCACGTTGGCTACTTTATTATTGCAGACTGTCCTTTAACATTAAATGCACAACATTCGTACCACTTAAAACTGGGGTCAGGTGGAAGTCTCACAGAGACCACGTCTGTACCGCGGTTGCCCTGAAACAGTTAAATCGGCTTTTAAAGCCTCTCAGATATAACAAGGTTTTAAAACATACTTCATGGAATGTTCTTCATGTATCATAGCAGCTCATACCTGTGATAGAACAAGCTTTCAGTTTTTCCTTTCTTCCTTTACATTCACTATTCACAGTGAAACAGGTGCATGGTTTTTTTTTTCTTTTTTCTTTTTTGTTTTGTTTTTCAGAGTTCTGAGGTTGCTGACTGAGCCACAGCACAGCTGTGTACCACAGGTCGAAATTCGACCTTAAATATTACAATCTAGCAGTATCTGGCTGGCCAGAGTGGGCCGGCCCCTGCCAGCATGTGGGCACTTCTTCAGTTAAGTCTATTCTTTGGCAGCTGACACGCGTGCTGACAGAGAAAAATCCAGTGACTTGTTGCTAGGGATTTCACGACTAATGTTTGCGAGCATGTGTGTTTTATAGTTCTGTTTTTCGATTTTCTTTAGGAGGTTTTACCCTGGAATATAGTTTCTTTCTTCCTCCACTACTTGAAATCTGGGCTTAAAAGCTAACTTAAATGTGTAATATAATTGATAAATAAAATCATGTCATATATAGTTTTTAAAAATCCAACAATTTGAGTGTGTTGTTTATGTAAATGCATTTTAAAAAAAGGATTTAGCAATGTTCTAACCTAGTACTATACAAAATTCAGAATGGTAATTGGTGATATCAATTTTATATATGTAATGAAAGTTAAAGTCTTGGTTTTTCTGTTAAGGATAAATCATTAGGGACATTATCCTCCCTTCCATTTCAAATAAAAATTAATGAAATGCTATTACAATATGTGAATGCAGTGCATTGCATACAAATCTACCAGGCTATGGATATATTTCTATATATGTATAAAAATATTTTGGCTCCTGAGTTCTGAACTCTGACACACAAAGAATAAAAACATCAAAAAGGCAGAGTAACTCAGTGAAAAACAAAGTTAGCCAGCAACCTCAGACAACCTTCGGTTGTACATCCTTAAGGTTTGTTAACAAGTTCATTAACCGTGAAAGCCCTATACATAGTCACTTTGAACTTCTAAACCAATACCCGAGTACGTTCTTTGATCAAGAAGTAGAATATACATATATAACTCTATGAAGCTAATACTGATTAAACACAGCACAAAGGGATTAATTCACACTACTGAAAAAAAACATAATGGGATCCTACTTGCATATGTAACCACAGGAATTGTACATTTAAAAAAAAAGCTAAATGTCTTCGCTGAAGCTTTGCATCTCTCTGTAAAAATGACGATTTGGTTCAGTGAAGACACTGAGTGATTCGATGTCCATGACTGCATGCCAAGGTTGGCCCAAGCCCAGGGATACCTGCTCAATAAGGTTATGCACTGGATCCACGTCCTGGTCGGCAAGTTCACCTTGGTCAAAATCAATGCTTTCTTCAGTGACTTCAAGTACTTTCAGATCAGAGCCACGAAGACGAGCAATGGCAATGAGATTGTGTGCCCACACTGTGTAACCTTAAAAATAAGCAAAACACAAGCACTGTAATTTCCTTGCATTTTATTTTGTCTATATAAGTTAGTCTTTTCCACAAATTTGTATCTCACTTACTACTTTGGTCCTTTTCTTTTATAAATATATTGAGATTCTCCCTGGCTGGTGTGGCTCAGTGGATTGAGCACGGGCCTGTGAACCGAAGGATCACAGTTTGATTCCCTGTCAGGGCACATGCCTGGGTTGCAGGCCAGCTCCTAGCAGGGAATGCATGAAAGGCAACCATACACTGATATTTCTCTCCCTGTCTCCTTCCCTTCCCCTCTAAAGATAAATAAATAAAATCTTTTAAAAAATTAAAATAAATAAAAATAAAAATATACTGAGATTCAAGAAGGAAGTATGATTAGCCAGAAAAAGAAAAAAATGACAGGTTTGGTATTATCTCCAAGAACATGACTGTGGGTGGTGAAAGGGAAGGTGCTATCATCCTATTCTCATACCACCACATTTAGTAAAACCAAATATATTTAAAATATAATTTTATAGCTTTGGATAGTAATATATCACAAAGAACAAATTTTTATATTTCAAAAGTATGCATTCATTACTAATACATAGTTAAACTGATATTCTTCATTAATGAAAAATCATTCATAGTCAAAAGTTATGAAGTGGTACTTTAAAGATAAATTGTTCATTGTCAGTAGCAAATATATAAAGTATAAAACAGTCATGGGAATAATATATACTAATTTCAGAATAATTACCTCTGGGAAGGAATAAAAGAATGGATAGAGGGGCTTTAGCTGTCTCTAACAGCTTCTTATTTCTTTTTTTTAAAATTTGTTTTATCTTTTTAGAGAGAGGGGAAAGGAAGGAGAAAGAGTGGGAGAGAAACATCAATGTGTGATTGCCTCTCATGTGTCCCTTACTGGGGACCTGGCCTGCAACCCAGGCATGTGCCCTGACTGGGGATCAAACTGGCGACCCTCTGTTTCACAGGCCCATGCTCAATCCACTGAGCTACACCAGCCCGGTCTTCTTATTTCTTAAAAGAAGAAAAGAAGCTTTTAAAAGGGGTTAATTTAACTCTTGAATAACCTGACATTTCTTCATCTGATACAAAATCATTTATTGATGATTAAATTACAAAACCAAACTTGAAAAGCAAGACACAAATACAGGCTAAAAAAATAATTTCAAAAACAATGAAACAGAGCTAATAAAGAGAGCTTAAGATGTTCATAGAGACTTCCTAATTTGTATCCTGTAACATGTCTTATAAGTATCAAAAAAAGGAAGTAAAATATTCCTTTAACTTGTCAGAATAGAAACTCCCCCAAGTTCAAATTAAGATGAAAGGCCCTAGTATGAAATGAGAATATACCTAATCAGTGGAACCACCATTAGAAAAAAAATGTCATATAAATTCATGTTAATACCTAGCATCTAGAAGGCAATGGGCATGAAAGAAATCACACTTCCTTTTCCATGTTATTTTATGAGCGATTTGTGATTAGAGGAAATATTTCTACTACAGGTAAATATATATGTTTTTCTCAGAAAAATTAACTTCAAATGCCATTTTTGTAAAATGCTATCAATTACATGGTAGAAGAAAAATGTAACAGGGAACTTGGAGCAGAACACTTAAGGCAGAGATGTGACTTTCCATTTTTTGGTATATTTTATAAATCTTAAAAAGTATAAAAATCTGCATATTAATTTGTTGTAAGATCTTTTAAAATTCTTACTGGAGAACATGCTTATTGATTTTAGAGATAAGGGAAGAGAGGGAGAGAGACAGGAAGAGGAGCATCAATGTGAAAGAGAAACATCCATTGGTTGCCTCCTGTGTGCACTAGACCAGGCCTAACCTGCAACCTAGGCATTTTCACTGACCAGGAATTGAACCTGTGACCTTTTGGTTTGTGGAAATGATGCACCTAGCAACAGACCCACAGCGGCCAAGGCTGTTATAAGATTTTAATACTATAAATGCCAGTGCTATTTTTTTTATTAGCATAAAACATTTTAGATGTAAGATTAATATCAAATTATAGTGAACAAAAATCACCTACCATGAATTGCCAAAAGAGAGAGCTTTGTGCACCTCCATGCTAGTAAAACCAATGGATCTTCGTTTCGGTTGTCACTAAGATCTGGAAACCCAGAAGTGTCGATCACATCATTCATCAATATAAAATGAGTGAGGAACTTGTCATACTGTCTAGATATGAGATCAACAATAGCTCCTGAAACACAAGTGATGTAGCTGTCAAAATGAATCCTCTCTAGTGGTATACTGGGCTTCAGAATCTTTAACATATCTTCACTCTTGATATCAAAAGCCATTATATAGACCCGAAGGCTGGTGCTCTTTCGTGACAAGGCCTTCCAATGCTCATCATTTGGCATGTTGTCCAGAGACTTGTGCATCACGGAAACATTGTGGACCAGGAGAGACAGTCGCTGCAAAGGCACATGGTTGCTATCGGTTAAGACTCTCACCATCTCAGCTGTAAAGTCGCAGAAATCCAGGGCAAGTGAGCGTAGATTCACAAATCGCTCTAGTTCCACTGCAGTGATGAGAGTGCTGTTACCAGGAATATTGTTATCCAGTAAACTCAGGTGCTCCATAGTGTTGGCGATAGAGTTTGAGAGAGATGACAGTGATGTTGGGGTTACTATTTCCAGCATAAACCCACAGGACAGCCATTTCAATTGCCTACTATTACTCAGTATTTCTTCAAACAGCTGCTGAATTCTGTAAGGAAAACACATGCCACAATGATCCTCTTAACATTTAGCTCTAATCTTTTAACTGTCTTTTGAAAATAGGCAGTAAAATGGCATGCAATGTTGAGATCCATTTTCTCTCAGTTTCAATCCAACCCATAAGTATTATCATAAATACCATTAAAATATTCTCATTAAATATTATGAATAAGATGTATTAAACTTACAGATCTGTGAAACATACAGAGATATGTTCAAGGAAAGCAGCACTGTGCACCAGTATGGCGAAGACTGGTGACATACAACTTATGGCAAAAGCAAGCAGATAAGTTGTACAAATCATTAATTACCCAGAAAATTCTTTGATTTGTCTTAAAATTTATGATATGAAATGGCATATAATAATCACTGTATATCATAGTTAAGACATTTCCAGGACATATGTTCTTTTTAGCAAAATAATCATTACTCTTCTGATAGTATCTTACAATTTCTCAAAAAAGTAAAATTATTGTTATATAAGCCCCTTTCCTCTAACTATATAACTTACTGCTTAATTTTTTTGCCATCAGGGTCCACCTTGCTGAGGTATGTATTTGACAAATTTCCTTGCTGTTGTAGAACGCTTATGTCTCCAAAAAGGCTAAACTTCTGGAGGTTCCTATAAAAAAAATGTAAATGATTGTCTAAGTGATTCATATACAAAAATATAAATTTTAAAAAGTACTCGGAATGAATATTCTAGGTAAGTTTCTACCTCATAACTCACTTAGAATCCAATTAAGTACTTTCAGATTGCTTTTTACATACAATGGAAAGCAATGTGATATAATACAAATGGCATGAGCTCTATAGAATGAGGACTGGGCTATAGCATTAGTTCAGGAACTCATTATTTTAACGACCATGGAAAAGTCTCTTAATGTCCCTGCAACTCATTTATTTTCCAGTATTAATATCTACCTAAAAAGGTTGAGACGAATAACAAAATGACATTATTAAAGAACTGTATAATCTATAAGTTTTATATAGATGTTAACTATAATATAAAAATTTCCCAAACCAGTCAACATCTTTAATGGTGAAAGGGTGGGGCACTGCCCTGAGGATATGTTTTTAGTAAGAAATACTGTTTGACTAAAATCTAGAGAACCTTCCCAGTTCTATGATCAAAAGTATAGCTATGATCAAGAGAGATAAAAAACTATGTAAAAATCTTGTTTTAGATAATTTTAGCTACAAAACATATACTTTTCTAATAGTAAAATTCTAAATAAAGTAGGAGAAAATAACAATACAAATTACTGGTGTAAATGTCAAATAATAACCAACTAAAGAATCCACTTACAATAAAGTTAGTAAGAAACATGTAGTCCACTAGAGTGATAAAAAAAATCTAAGTAAATGAAAAATAACATTTGAAAAGAATGTCTTGTTTTTCCAAATGAATAACCTTAGTTTCACTAAAAAAACTGGATGATTCTAAAATTTAACTTGAAGAGTAATCATGAAGATAGTCAAGTTAAGATGCTGAGAAGGCAATTCCATGTCTGGAGCAAGCAGTTATCTGGATGATAACTGAAGTCATGGATGGGAGCAATAGGGCTTAGGGTAAGAGTATAAATGAGAAGAATAGCAGGCAAAAAGTCAAGTTGTGAGGAACCTCAATAATTAAATTAGAGAGAGACGAGGCTGCAAAGGAGAGGTCAGAAGGTGGAGAAAAATCAAGAGTGTGGAAATCAGAGACCAAGGGAAAACTTAGAATAAAGAATAAAGTACAAAGAATAAAGTGACAAACAACAGTGTCAAATACTGCCTTGAGGTCTTACAAGGACTAACAGGTCCTTTTGGCTTAACAACGTGCTGATCAGAATGGAAGTCATTTTATGTGGTATGATGATAAAAGATCAGATTGGATGTTAGGAAACAGAGATCATGAATACAGACAAATCTTTTTAAAAATTGCTGTGAAAAAGAGAAATCGAAGGCACTTCTCAATAGAGCAAAATAATCTGCATAGATATCATTACATACTAAAACAACACATGAATGGAAACTGATATGAAAGTGATCTAATTTCTGAGGAATAAGACTTTCTAAGCTTAGAAATAATAGAATTAGAGAAATATTTTACCATATAAAAATGAAACAATTTATATTTAATAGCATACCTCATTAAAAAGGTTAAGGTTATAAAAGGTTATACAAAAGGTTTACAAAAGGAAAAGGTTATAAAACAGCCAATGTAGAACACGTCAAGGAAAATACTGTAAAGATTACTAATCGTATAAATCTAATGTGTTTTTCTTGACTTTGAAAAAATTTTAAATTAGTCACTCTAGTACATCTAATCAACTTTCCATGTGACTACCAGAAAAATTATATTCTTATTGAAGGAAGACATGAACTTAAAATGTTTTTCCATTAAAAAAAGGATATAGAGTTATTCTTGAGAAGATAGCTACCATATCAAACTCTAAGGGACACATGACTATAATAGACACACATGTAACTATGGTTGTCTTTAAAGTATTTTCTCTTTTACCCTTTCTTTATTCTAAGGTTGCCACTACATCTATGAATTATAAAAAGGTTAATCTGCTTCTCATAACCTCTTCTAGGAAAAAAATAAATTTAAAGACTTCTAAAAAAAGTATTTTTTGAGAATAAATTTTTATGTAATGTAGAAAAAGATATCATTCAATTTCTAATAATATTCAGAGAAAAGCATCCTATACAAATTCACAGTCTCAATATTTTTCTCCCCCCAACCCAGCTTCCAGTGATTACTACTGTATATCTATAACACTAGTTGTCCTTGTGGTATTAAAGCACATATGGGAGAAACTTTTACTTCTTCCATAAAGGATTAAGCAGCCATGTACCTTCCTCCTATAAACAACTAGAAAACAGGACAAAACCTACGAAACAACTGTTTCAAACACTGGACAATAAACAATATAGGAGTGATCCCTGGATGGGGGAAAAATGAGATGAGAACTACCCTTGCTTCAGATAACGACCTGGAGAGTTTCCAAGCTGTATCACAGGATGGGAAAACCCAAACAGACTCTAGCAGTCTCCCTAAGTTGAGAAGAAAGATTTGGGGAAGGCCCAAAGTGGCTAGGATTTGGAGGACAGAGTACCAGAGATTAGGGAGTTGCACACAGTGTCACCAATCTGCAGAGAGGACTGCCAAGACATAACCCAAGTCTTTGGTTGAGTAATGATCTGCAAATATGTGGGGTAAAACCACACAAGGCTGGAGAAAGTACTACTGGAAAGTAGTAGAGCACACACAGTGGTGGGAAGTTTATGTTCCTACCAGCAAAAGCTAAGAGATACTGCAGTACAGGGGTATTGGGTAGGGCTCTCAGAAAAGCCATGCCTTAGCATTGATTCATTAGCCCTAGATAAAGGATATTTTGGATCTCCCCTGAAAAACCTTAAAAGCAAAGTTCAAAAGGATGAAACTGATTTCACACAAATTAACTATGTGTCAGATTAAAACCCAACACTCCTTAAAGGAATAAATATAATTAAAGAATTTAGGACTCAACAATTCAAAGAATAACAATGTCTAGTATCCAATCAAAATTATCACACATAAAGATAAAGGAAAAATTACAACTAGGGAAAAATCAATCAAGAGACATGCCCAGAAATGAGAGGTGAAGAAATTAGCAGACAAGAAACTTAAACCAACTATTAAAAATTTACTCCCTAATATTTTACCTGTCAACAAAAAGGCACATGGACTGGAAAGGGAAAGGAAAATGATCTTTAGTTGCCAATTATTTCATCATTTACACAAAAAAAATTGTAAGAAATCTAAAAAAAGCTACTAGAACTCATAACTTAGTTTATTAGTAAGGTCAAAATGTAAAAATCAACTCTCTTCTATAAACCAGCAATGAACATCTGGAAACTGAAATGTAAAAAAAAAAACAGTACTAGTTACAGTTGCATCAAAAATATGAAATACTTAGGGATAAATCTTATAAAATTACACTGAAAACTATGTAACATTGTTCAGAGAAATCAAACACCTACAAAAATGGAGAAATACACTACATTTGTTTACGGGAAGACTATTAACATGTTGGTTCTCCCCAAATTACCAATAGACTTGACACAATCCTATCAAAATCTAGCAGGCTGTTTCAAAAAGCAAATAAATGAGAATTGCCAAAACAACTCTGAAACGAACAAAGTTAGATTGCATGCACTATCAGAATTCAAGACTCTTTCTTAACCAATAGATCACAGACATGGTGGTACTGGCTTAAGCATAGATGTAGTGATCAATGGAACTGAACAGAGACACCAGACTAGATCCATTCATATATGGTCATTGTATCCACATGTATAATTTTCATAAGACAATGATAAATAAAATAAAAATTAGAAATTTTGACAAATTTGGAAAGTCAATTCAATGTCAGAAAGGATAGTCTTTAAAAAAAATGGTGCTACGACAACTGGATCCTTAGTTCACACAATCTAGAAAAATTAACTTGAAATGGATCATATGCTTAAGCCTGACAGCTAAAACTATATAATACTGCTTAAGAAAATACAGGAGAAAAATCTTGTGACTTTGGATTAAGCAAATATTTTTTAGATAAGACACAAAAAATACAAATCATTAAAGAAAAAAGTTGATTAATGAAAAGATGTTCATCCTGGTTACTAGGGAAATGAAAATGAAAACCTCAATGAGATACCACTCACACACAAGAATGTCTAAGGTTAAAAAGTCTGATAATACTAAGTGTTATAAAGTATATAGAGCAATTACTTTACACGTTGCTGGGAATGCTTATAATAAAGTACAGACTTTGAAACCATTAAGTAGTGTTTTCAGACTGGTTTCTTTCACTAATATGCCTTTAAGTTACTTCCTTTTATGGCCTGATAGCTTTTTTTTTTTTTTTTGGCCTATGGCTGCACTTGGCAACCACTGAAATTTTTACTTTTTCCATAGTTTTATGTTTTCTACCATGTCATATAGTTGGATTCATATGGTATTTAGCTATTTCAGATTGGCTACTTTGCCTTAGTAATATACTTTCAAGGTTTTTCCATGTCTTTACCTGGCTTGATAGCCCATTACAAAAAAAAAACCCAAAACACTGAATAATATTTCACTGTCTGGGTTGTTTATCCATTCACCTACTGAAAGCATCTTGGTGGGTTCCAATTTTGTCAGTTAAGAATAAAATTGCTACAAACATCTGTGTGCAAGGTTTTGCGTGAACAAAAAAAGGTTTTCAACTCTTTTGGGTAAATACCAAGGAGGATTTTGGTATCATATAGGGTAGGTTTAGTTTCGTAAGAAACTGCCAACCTGCCTTACAAAATGACTGTATCATTTTACATTCACACCATCAATGAATGAGAGCTCCTGTTGTTCTGTGTCTTTGTCAGCATTTGGTGCTGTCTGTGTTCTAGATTTTGGCCACAGAAGTGTAGTGATGTCTAACTGTTATTTTTATTTGCATTTCTCTGATGAAATACCATGTGGAGAGTCTTTTCAAATGCACATTTACCATCTATGTATCTTCTTTGATAATGATACATAGATGTCTGTTAAGGTCTTTGGCCAACTTTTTAGTAGGGTTGTTTGCTTTTCTTATTGCTGAATTTCAGACTTTTTGTATATCTTGCTTATCAGTCCTTTATGAGATATGTCCTTTGCAAACATGTTCTCCCAGTGTGTGGCTTCTCTTTTTATTTCTTGACGGTATCTTTTACCAAGCTGAAAATATTAATTTTAATGAAGTCCAGCTTATCAATTCTCTTCATGGATTGTGCCTGTGGTCTTGTATCTAAAAGGTCATCACCAAACCCCAGATTATCTCAATTTCTCCTGTTATCCTCTAGGAGTTTTATAGTTTTGTGTTTTACATTTAGGTCTGTGATCGGATTTGAGGTAATTTTTGTGAAGCATGTAAGTTCTGTGTCTACTGGATGTCCCACTGTCCCAACATTGTTTGTTGTAAAGACTCTTTCTCCATTGTTTTGCCTTGTTCCTTTGTCAAAGATCACTTAATTATATTTACGTGGGTCTATTTCTGGGTTATTCTGTTCTACCTATTTGTCTATTCTTTCACCAAAACCATACTGTCTTGATTACTGTGGCTTTGTAGTAAGCCTTGAAGTCAGGTAGTATCAGTTCTCAGTCTTTGTTGTCCTCCTTCAATACTGTCAGCTGCTCTGGTTCTTCTGCTTCTCCTTATAAACTTTAGAATCAGTTGTCATATACACATACGTATAGGTATATAACATATCCTTTAAAACTTTTTCTTTACTGTGCTTACATATGCAACCCATTTCTATTAGTAACACTTTTCTTTACAAATGATTTTCAGCATAGGTTAGGGGAAGAGGGGGAGTTGTGCTTCCTAATTGAAATTTACTGTCTTATAGGGACCACAGAAATGAAACAATAAATGCAATGGGTTTAAGATGGGGACAGGGGGTTAACTAGACTTACTGTGGTCATTTTACAACACGTACAAGTATCAAATCATTATGTTGTACACAAGAAACTATAATTTTATATGTACAATGTAATTTTATATGTCAATTATAATTCAATTTAAAAAACCACAAAAAACTTCAAAAACAAAAAGAAATGATGGGGGGAATTGATACGTTTTTTTAAAAAAGATTTTATTTATTTTTAGAGAGAGGGGAAAGAAGGGAGAGAGAAGGGGAGAGAAACATTGATCTATGAGAGAAACACAGATCAGCTGCCTCTTGCACATGCCAGGACTGGGGACCTGGCCCACAACCCAGACATGTGCCCTACCAAGGAATCAAACCTGCGACTGCTCCCTTTGCAGAATGCTGCTAAACCAACTGAGCCATGCCAGTCAGGGCTGAGAAATCCGCCCCCCCCACCACCACCAAGCAAAGGTCTCTGTGAAAGTCATATCAGAACCAGATACCACCTTCCCACATTCACATCCCTCCACAGCCTGGCTGTGGAATGCCAACCACGTATCCTCCTTGAGCTTGCCAAGGAGCACAGACCTGGGGCATCACTGTGTTAGCCACCCTTGTGCCCATCAGAGCCCTGGTGGGGCCAGATGGAAGTGAGGGGGCTGGGTGAGAGATTTTTTAAAATGCAAATTCCATGTTTAGTTACTCTGATGGCCAGGATATATAAAAGCATTTTTTAAAATGAGTAAATTACATATACTCTGAGTTTGTAGGGGGCTTGAAATGTTCAACAAACTGAATGTCCAAATCAGGGTGTAAAAATAATTTATTTAAAATAGTGTATAACCAATATATGAGGTCTGTCCAGAAAGAAAGTATCCAACCATGTAATATGAAACAGAGGCATTTGTTGAAGAAGATGAAAGATACAAGAAAAATTGTACATAGGACAATGATGCCCCAGTCCCCTGCAAAGTAGGCACCTTGGGACCTCACGGTTCTCCCAATCACCATCAGCTGCCCCATCGTATTTTCCTGAATCTCATGGGTGGTCTGAAATCTCTTTCCTTTCAAAGGTGATTTTAGCTTTGGGAAAAGCCAGGAGTCACAGGGCACCAAATTTGGGATCTAGGGGAGCTGAGTCACCTGCATGATTTGACATTTCACCAAAAAACTCTGCACAAGATGTGATGCATGAGTGGGCATATTGTTGTGATGAAGCTGCCAATCACTCATAGCTGTGGCCTTCTGAATCATCTGAATAGCTTCTGTGGAGGAATGTTCCAGCTTAATGCAAACTTTGATGCAGATTCACTGCTCTACTTGTTCATTTTGAATGCAATGGCCACACGGTACACATGCTCATCAACTATACCTACCTCCCCCACTGACAAGTACAGTGAAGTCACCATTGCTCACACATGTGCATTCCAGTCCATTTTCCCTGGCTGCTAGGTTACATAAATGTTGTGCAAACTGTTTTTGTTACAGTAACAAAGGCTGTACTTGTTCCGGAGGGATCTCATATATTACCATGATATAATTTTTAAATGACTTCATTTTGTTAAAGACTAGTTTTAGGTTTACAACCAAATCAAGAGAAAATATTTACCCCTACCTTCACATGCATATTCTCCTCCCCCATTATCAACATTACTCACCAGAATGATATATTTTTTCTAAGGATGAACTCACATTGACAGGCAGATCATAATCATCCAAAGTCCACAGTTCACCTTAGAGTTCACTCTTGGTGTTTTACATTCTATGGGTTTGGGCCAATAGATATTGACATATGTCCATCATTATACCATGCAGTTTTCACTGCCCTAAAAGTCCTCTGCGCTCTGCTTATTCAGATCTCTCTCTGTCCCACTCCTGGGAACCACTTATCTTTTTTACTGACTCCATAGTTTTGCTTCCTAGATTCTCATATAATTGTAATTATTCAGTGTATAGCCTTTTCAGACTGTCATCTTTCAGCTAGAAATATGTATTTAAGGTTCCTTCATGTCGTTTTATGGCTTGATTTCTTTTAAGCACTGAATAGTAATTCCACTGTTTGAATGTACCAAGGTTAATGTATACATTCATCTACTGAAGGACATCTTGGTTGGTTCCAATTCTGGCAATTATGAATAAAGCAGCTATAAATGATTACATGCAGGATTTTGTTAGGATCTATGTTTTTAACTCCTTTCAAACACCAAGCAGTGTGATTGCCGGCTTGTATCATAAAAGCATGTTTAGTTTTATAAGAAAGTGCTAAACCATATTTCAAAGTGACTGCACCATTTTGCATTCCTTCCATATTTTGGCAGCATTTGATGTTGGCAGTGTTCTGGATTTTGACCTTTTTAATAGGTGAATAGTGCATGATAGGATTTTTGATTGTGTGAAAAAATGTACAAGACATATTAAGGGAAAACCACTCTTAATTATTCCTATTTTGTAAAAAGATGCATTACATTTTACTAGCTATTACCTCTGATTAATTTTTACTTTTTCTGTATCTTTCTATTTTACAAATGCACACTATTGAGGAAAGAACTTTAAATTACTTTTACATAGCTTCCCACCTGTATAAAAACTTAATTTACATGAAAATCATTTTAAAATTAAAAGCCTGCATTATTAAAATTTAGCAAGTTAATATAAGGAGGCTCCCTGGAAGATTTCTGTTTTAGTTCTACCTATACAATATTTTTAAATGTCCCAGCAATATTAGACATGCCACTCAAGAGCAATTTAACAAAAATTCTTTTTATCTGCAGCAATAAAACGGTAATAATCTTGTTAAAGTATAACCAATAATGCATATACAAACTTTCTTTACAGAGGCATCATTGATATACTTTTGAAGTTGAAATGATTTGTGGAATCATCTAATTCATTCATTTATTTATTTTTAAGATTTTATTTATTTTTGGACAGAGGGTAAGGGTGGGAGAAGAGAGGGAGAGAAACATGAATGTGTGGTTGCCTCTCATGTGTCCCCTACTGGGGACCTGGCCTGCAACCCAGGCATGTGCCCTGACTGGGAATCGAATCAGCGACCCTTTGGTTCACAGGCTGCTGCTCAGTCAGTCCACTGAGCCACACCAGCCAGTGCTTAATTCTTTTGTCTTTATAGATGGAGGAAATTGAAGTGACTTGTGTAAGACTGCAATACTAGTTAGGGCAGAATAAGGTAGAGAACCTGGGTTCTGACTCCTACTTAGTTCATATTGTTTCTTATAATGAAACCGTGTCCTTGAATACAATGGTCTTATTCAAAATTATCAGAAAAATTACCCTGGGTTTTTTTTTTTGGTGGCTCAGTGGATTGAGTACTGACCTGCAAACTAAAGGGTCGCTGGTTCAGTTCCCAGTGAGGGCACATGGCTGAGTTGCAGGCCAGGTGTCCCCATGGATGATGTACAAGAGGCAACCACGCACTGATGTTTCTCTCTCCCTCTTTCTCCTTCCCTTCCCCTTTCTCTAAAAATAAGTAAATAAAATCTTTTTTTAAAGGGAATTTTAAAGAAAAATTGTAAGTGGCATATTTTTGAGTAGTATATAAGAGATATTTGTGGAAAAACTTTAGGTACTTACTTTTCCATTCGAAGTGAAATTTTATTTATTGAGTCACGTAGAAATTAACAATTCACTTTAAAACACACACACACAAACACACACAAACCCTGGCAACTCAAGGGCAACTTTCATATATATCAGGCTGAAATTAGATTACAGATCACATGGTGGAGGCAAGGAGACTGTATATAGCCCCCAGGTGGCTCGTTATTGTCTCAGATGATAAAAAAAGGACTGAACAGAACATCCAGGTAACAGGGCTAGCATAGAACCTAGTGAAACAGGGCAATAAACAGATGTCTCACGTACACCAGTAACATGGGAACTGCACCACATAATCCTTTTATTTAAAGATGAAATCTGTGACCTTAGTTTTATTTACTTAGTTTATACATTCATTCATTTATTGTTGAACCAAGTGAACTAATGAAGCAAACAGGGTTCTTTCCTGTGCATGCAAGTGTTCAAAAAGCATGTAGCTAAAACATACTGGGAGAATGTCACAGTTGGTTAGACAACATTTCTTTCATTTTAATTCTTCAAATTAATTTAGCTCTGTCCCTGTGGTAATATTAATGGGATGTAACTATAAGATTGCCAGAGAGAATGAATCCTGAAAATCCTAAACTGTGTTCGATAATCAGTCTTTCTAAAACATGTAGAAAGCCATACTATTGCTAGAAGAGAATGAATTCTCAACTTAATTGCATTTTTCTTTAATTCTATTTTAAAAAGTCATCAATTCCAGATATGGAGCTAAATTAGATCATTAGGTACTTATAACTTAGAAATTTAGCTGAGAGACTGCTTTCCTACTCTTTGCTTATTCAATTATTAAAATATGCATTGTGTGCCAATGATGTGAAAAGTTAATGTTGGTTACATTTCAAGTGTACATGAGTTTAGAATCTTGGAGTAGAAATAAAGTTCTTTTAAAAGACTCAATTTTTAAAAAAAATCAGGTGATATGCAATTTGTCTCTCATAAGAGGAATCTAATGAACAAAATAAACTGAGCAAAATAGAACCAGAGACATGGAAACATAGAACAGACTAACAGCTGCCAGAGGGGAGAGAAAGGGGATAACGGTGCAAAGAAGGGGAAGGAAATGGTCAAAGAACATGTATGAATAACCCACAGACATGAACAATGTGGTGGGGATTGAATGGGTGGGTGATGGGGTGGAGGAAGAAGGCAAAGGGGGGGAAATTGGGACAACTATAATAGAATAAATAAGAATAAAAATACAAGAATAAAACTTTCATATAAAAAATCAGGTGAGACTAAGTAATTATTGGTAACTTAAGTATATTAATGGCATTGCAGTTATACATAAAAATGTCCATAATTTTCAGTTTATACTGAAGTAAGTAGTGTAAAATGACGCAAATGTCTTAGATTGGCTTTAAAATTTTTAGTAAAGATAAAAGAAAACAAATATAGAAAAATCCTTAAACTGTTGAAACTGGGCAATAGGCTCATTGTGTCTAGTTTTTGTCCATGTTTGAAAATTTTACTTAAAAATTAGAAAACAAGGCAGTCAGTTCTCTAATTATGTAAATGGCAAATTCATTTAACTATTCTGTGCCTCAGTTTTGCCATCTGTAAAATAATACTGCCTACATTATACAGTTGTTGAAAACTGCTGTTTCTCTGTGAAAACTAGCTTAGTATTTAAAAAACCTGTCCAGAACATGCCTACTCAACTCTTTTCAACTGGAACTAGGAATAGGCCTTACCCAGTTCCATGACCCTAGTGATGGCTCTAATAAAGCTTTTGTATGGAGAGGGGGTGTGGCTTGAGAAAGTGGGTCTAAGCTACCGAAGATCTAAGTCTTTTACCTTTCTTCTCTGCCTTGATTCTAAATAGTCCCTTTGACATTTCTAAGAGTGAGAGTCTTTTGAAGTTACTAGAAACACCTAACTAACAAAAAAGGTTAGAAGGTAGCTTAACTTTGTCCTCTGTTTTCTCCTTTTTCTTGTCCACTTAAGAGAGGTAATAGAAGGGTACACACTTTGAGTGGTAAACAAGTTTACCTGGGCTTAGTGCTATAGGTGATGACCCCAGTGATATGGGGGGTAAAGGGAAGGATAGTCTTTGTGCAGAGTACCATCTGCTTTTTCCTTTCCACTTAGCCCC